GCATATAGACATCGGCTTCGGGTAGAGCTTTCTAGGACAGGAAAAGATACTACAAGAGACCAGAAAGCGTGAGAGGGATCACAACAGTTCAGAGGACGAGGAGGAGAACAAAAAATTGACCTCAAGTAAACATCTTGGAAGCATGGACTTGTATTTTGCATTGACATCTGTGTCTGATTCCTCCCAGTAGACTGGAGAGTTCACTGTTGCAAATTTATCCAATGCAAAAGCCACCCCTCCACCAGCTTTCTCATAAGGTTGGTTAAATGCCCTGTCCCATAACTCCTCGGTCACTTTAACATCTTCTTCCTGGGGGGTTTCCCATAAAGTTGCCACCTTCCACATATCATCCTCCAAGCCCAACGCTTTTAAATCATCCATATACACTGTTGGGTAGCTCTGCTCCATTCAGAATTTTAGAGCCATTAATAGAGTCATTCAAGGAGAAAACTAAGCAAGTATAAAGATAATCAATCAGAAAGGTAAAATTAGTAGACAAGTGAATATTTTATAAAATGTGCCAAAATCAGATTAGTTATAAAACTAATATTCAGGAATCTCCTCAAAGAATTGGTGTTCAATTTTCCATTACCGATTCAGCATGGTCAAATAGAACTACTTAACCAAAAAGTAGAAGTTACGGCTGAGGTGATGCCTTCAATAAGTATTGATGAGAATTATCATACAATGACTAATTGGTGACAATTTAAACTAATAAAGCATTGCAAGCCTATAAACCTTATTTAATGTTTTTGGTGATGGTGCCGGAAATCGGAGCCTTGGGCAAGGAAGGAAATATTGTAGCAAACAAATTGTCCCACTCCAATTTTGAACCTGGGACGCCTCATTGAGGGGGTGTTTGGATAGAAACCAAACCATAGTTTCAGAAGTGTTTTTATGATTTACGAAGTAAATATGTAAAGAAATTTGTCTCGTTTTGCGAAAAAGTACTTCTAAAACCATGGTTTGGAGGTTGCCAAAATCAGTTTTCTGATAGTTTTTGACATAAATGTAAAGTCAACTCGTGTCACTTCTCTGAAATTACTATATTAGAAAATAACATGTTATCGAACAAACAGAAAACGGACAAGACTCAATTTCTAATATCTTTTTCTTTTTTGGGACTCGTCACTCTTGAAATTCGCTTAGTTTCTCGGACCCCAAAAAAAAAAAAAAAAAAAAACTTAGCTTCTCAGCCCATCCTCGAAGATTCCAGTTTCACAAGCAAGAAAAGGTATCTGACGCAAAACTACTTTCTTCCAGCTCTTCGCTAGTATTTCCCTTTTCTTTTTTTGATCTTTCATCTTTCACCAAATATTACTTAGCATGCGTTGTGCCTAAAACCTTTGGTTGGAGGAAAGGATAATCAAATCGAAAAAAAAAAAAAAAAGGACCATGACCTGGAGGCTCAAAAGATAACATAAAGGAGGCAAGTATTATATTGTAGAAGATGCCCAAATTGCTATTCCAACAACTACAAGGAAAACAACAAGTGGGAGTAATTAACACACCTGGTGGGTCAGCCACATTAACATGATGTCCGAAGTAGGTACCAAACGGCAAGACCCATCTGCGAACCTCTGCACCGTATGCAAAAATGCCTTGTATCTCTGTCTTGCAGCTATTAAGTACACAAGCTCCGACCTGTAAGACTCTGGAAACTTAGAGTGCAACATCCTATGCTTTGCGACTTCCTGAAACAAGTCATCTTCATTTTTAACAACCAGGGAATCTGAATTCGCTTCATTCTCAAATGACTCTGTCGGGTATTTACGGTTCCAAATTTCACGGCATCTCATCAACGCGTACTCTTCATTTTCCTCGTCGAAAATTGCCGGTCTTCCTATGATTTTTGAGAATTTCGTCTCACAGTATTCCTTGTAACTTACCTGAATCATTTCCAAAATTAGACTTCAGTACTTTCAGTTCAATTGAAGTGAAGATAACCAAAAGTAAGAGCAAATTGCGGGCATATAAAGCAACGAACAAATTTTCCTCCATCTTCCACTTTTAGCTTCTTGCCCATTATTTAGAGGGAAGAAAGAACCTACCGGGTTTAATGTGTGACAGAACCAAACCCAGTCGACATCGAAGGGAGGAAGAATCATGGGAGGGGATGAACCAGGCGGCGTCAGATCAGAAATCAAGGGCATCCACAACTCATGATACCTGAGAAAAGGAAAATCCGTCAAGAGCCACCATGAGATTAGATGAGAAGAAGGGGGCTGAAAGAGTCGACCTTCTGACGGCTTCAGCGAGGGTGGAAGTGTGGTGAAGGAGGAGGTGAAAGTCAGCGACAGTTCTCAAGAAGCCGATATTTCGTCTGGCAGCCGACACGAGATCCAGACCGAAACGTATCGCGGCGATATCGGGGATCTCGGTCAGGCTTCTCGTTGAAACTTGGGATTCCGACATTATTACCGTATGAAGACTATAAGTAAAAGGACCGCAGGAAAAGGGATCAGCGGAATCCGAAATAGTGGAAGAGATGGAACTGTGATTGAAGACACCATAACGGTGATTATAGAGCCGAGTCGCAATAACTTCCTCCACCGACTGCCAAAAGAGCGTCAGCAACTACCATTGGAGTATGGAGATGAACCAAGATGCAAAGGTCACTCCAAATGTTTTAGATCCCCGCGTAGAGTGGAGAGCGGAGAAGGAAGAAGCGTTGATTGATTTGAGAAGCGGTCAAAAGATGACGTTGAGCAGCAAAGGGAATAAAGGATGAGACACGAGCTTTTGTGTGAGGATCGTGGATGTGTCGGGAAGCGGACAGCAGATTAGATTGGATCATTCCATTCAGTGCTGTTTAAAGTGTAATCATCACTTCAACGCTCACCGTTAACAATAAAACACTTGATTTGCACGTGAAAGCCCATTCAACACCCACTCCTTGCGACACTCGACTGTGCGCAAATCAGACAACTCCTCGTCTTTATTCTGGTTCCTTTTATTTATTTATTTTTTTTTAAATGAAGTTGATCACCTGCTCAATTTGTTTTGATCAAATTCCATATCGAGTTTGTAGCCGCCTTGGTTAAAATATAGAGGGTTATGAAATGAATGAACCCCACCCGTCGTTGATTCGCCAGACTCGTACTAGCGTCCTAGGAATTAATATGTTGATTCTTCTACGGCAATCAAAATCGAAAAGTCAATATGAAGAAGAGAAAAGTGGAGACACGCGCGACTTGTATAATTGCACTACTCAATTTACTGTACACGAGACAGCAACGTCAATGAGTATGATAATACGCTGAGCTCCTCTTGACAAGATTCATTTTGTATTGCTTTATTTGGCGAGATCAAGTGAGATTATTATGAAGAAATAAATGAAGGAAGGTGGGTCGACGGATGTAGTGAGAGAATAAAGAGAAGGGTATGGTATTAAAAAGGTGTTTGGATGTGTAAAAAATATTTTTTTATAAATTAAGATAAACTCTTTTACTTATTTTTTTTATATACAAAAATTACTTTTTTTTATACCGAAAAATTACTTATGATTTGATTTTTATTCAATCACCCATAAAAAAAGTGGAGTGAATTCGACGGCGGGAGGATGAGGAATGAGGACAGATGAAAGCATGCCAGGGGAAGGAAGAGACGAGAGTGAAGAAGAGATTGGGTGGCGAGATGGGGACCCACACCAGTGCTTGAAATATACCAACCTCCCCGGGAAAAGAAGACGACACGTGGCGTGCTGTGGTGCGGAGGAATTCATGTGTATCAAGGATGGGAGAGCAATAAGAACACGTGAATGTGAAGAGTTGTCCGCGGCATAAGTAGCCGGCTGGTAGTCAGTTAGAGTGCTCCGCCTCCACCGCCATCCTCTGATTTGCCGCCATGGAGCACCGGAAATCTGGAATGCGTGGTATTCACCAACCTCCCCCTCCACATAATCTCAAGTTTAATGCATGAGTTGTGGGGAGATGTTCATTTTTTATTTATTTTGTGAGTAATAAGTGTTTTGATTGGTTTATCAAAAATAAAAGTGAAAATACTTTCTTCCGAGCACTACAAATATCAAAGCCCTTCTATGAGCTTAAGAGAAAGGGCCCTAAAACAAGTCCATTTTCTTAGCACAGCTTTCAACTAAAATAGTCATGATTTTGTTGGCTTGTGTTTGTCCAGTGATTCCTGCCTTCCTATTATTAATCAACCAGTCTGTAGAATATGTACTCCTCCCGTATAAATTATAAAAACCAATTGACTTATTTGAGGAGATTAAGGAAGTAAGTTAAAGTGGTTATTTATAATAAATAAGTGTTGTTATTCTTAAATATCATTGCTAATTAAGTATATGGCTAAAACTATCATTATTAGAAGATTATCTTGAAAAAAAATGCATAATATAAGAGAAAAAATGGATTGGGTCTTATAATTAGAACCAAATAAAAAGTCAAATTGGGTCTTATAATAAGGACCGGAAGAGTATTTAAAAAACCATTTCTTTGCCACCAAAACCATTTATAATAAACTAATTATAAATTATAGGATAATTAACATAATTAGATTTTCCGGCAAAATCGTAATTAGATTTGACATTGAATTTAAACTAATAATTGTTACCGTAGAGGCAAAGAGACGATAAGAATAATAAAATAATTGCTTATCTCTACTCTGTTGGCCGTTGTCGTCCCGGAAGTGGAAGCAGGTGAGAAGAGAGGAAGATAGCGTAATTTGTTGACCGCGCCCTTGACGAGTTTAGTTTCCGATTAGCGTGAAAATCGCTCGTTATGATTTATGGCCTTTTTTTTTTTTTTTGGATACAACGCTCAGTATGACCGATGGCCATCATCATTTACAATTACGAGTCCCACCGTATGAGACAAAACCCACCAGTCTATATATGCATACCACCTTTTCCGTCAGGGAAATGGTTACTGTTCAAAGGATGTCATTCACAAAATACCCACAGATGGCGTAGTAAAATCACTAAATCAGGATTGTTATTTATTTTCAGATCCATCGTCGTATCAGCGTAGAGTCCAAGATCATCCAACAAACTAACTTAGAAAGTAAAGACTGATCAAACATACAGATAAGTGGAGGAAAGCTCAGATAGATGTGAGAAGTTATACTCCCAGACCTTGCGAAAGGCCTCGTAGTGAGCTGGGAAAACACAAATATCATCATCGCAACTGGCCCATTGGCAACCACGCAGGTCACTCAAATAACCTTATCGCATCTATATCCGAATGCATCAACAGATTGCCTGCATTAGAAGTTTAAAATAACCCTCTCACATATAAAACCCAAATAAAACAAGAAGATCAAGGAGGCGCGGACCGCAGAAGAAGAAGCACGCTGCAAGAGAAATAACATTGGTATTTATAGAGAACGTCTAGGGCTAGGGTTAGGGTTTGAGTGAGAAACGGCAAAAAAAAAACAAAAGATCAGGTGAAGGCCTGGTCCGATGTAATGGGCCTGACCTCAAGACCCTCAACAATGAGGCCGCCTTTCAAATGGACGCCTTTGACCTCCTTGAAGGACATTCTAACCTCATTATCTCCCCCGCCTTCGTTGAAGAAACTCCCCAGCGCTATCTCCAGCCAATCGTCTTCTCGCTTACAAGGCCATCTCCCTTCTCCTCCTGAGGTTGAGCCTCTTGTTCTCTCGCTGTTTCTCGCCTCCTTCTCCTTCAGTGGCCATCTCACATAAACATTCCCTTTTGACTTGAAATTACTAAACTCCACCGACACCTCCGACGGCAGCGAGTCCAATCCGTATGCTCGATCCGCCACTTTCACTATCAGAAACGCTCCGTATATCGTTCTCGGCGATAGCATTGCGGCGTCCATGCTCCCCCTGATTTCTAGCCAGCATATGGTTCTCAGTTCAGCTACTTCTGCAAATCTGCTCCGCACATTTTTCCAATTCAGACCCCACTTTGGAAATGAACTTCAGTTGAGATTACGAGATCTGATAAATTATGATTATGCACAAACCTTGAGGATTGAAAAGGTTTCCAGGACCAATACAGAGGGCTGCTTCCCCACGCAATTGCAAGCTCTCTCGCACTCAGCATGTAGCATATTTTACCCGTTGATTTCTCTATTGAGAATACCTGCTTCATCAACGAGTTTTCAGTATTCCGTTAATTCTATCATATTGATACCAAGATAAACTCAGAGCTCGCTATTTAATTCGGTTAACATAATTGCCTGCGATTTTCATCTGAGGGAGATTGCATTACCTTGTTACCCTGATCAATTAGAAGGGGTTTGCTTAAACTGAGAAACAAGTTTTTCTTTGAGGAATAGATCAGGGGAGCTACCAGCCTAGAGAGAATTTCATGATAGTTGGGTGGTAAAAACTTCTCCCAGATAATGTCTGAATTCGCCATTGATCGCACCATGGACGAAATAAGAGAGGACTTACCAACGTCTCGAGGAGACGTCATGGACAAAATGTGCGCAAAACAATCATCGGGCAGAACCTCCATCGGACGATGCAGACCAGTCAACTTCTGAGATAGATGACAGGTGAAAAGTTCTATTTAATATTTATGCTGTGTGCCTGATCCAAGCATATCGCTAATATGTCGACATGAGACATACACATGAGCACATGTATGAGAACACTTGAAGGTCATTGCTTTTAAGGTCAGCGTCATTCTCACACACAACTCATCAAGCAGGAGAAACTTCGAATTGTAGACAATCATCATCAAGGACGAAGAGGTCACTTTTGAAATTCTAAATTTGTCGCATCGATCTCCAAGGCACTCGCGGTTATCAATTGCCAGGGTATTGCATTTTGGCGTTTTCTTTCAAGCTGACCTTTTTTCGAAAAAAGACAATAAAGATAATAATTTAGGGGGTGTCAACTTGATTGAAGCAGCCAGAGACTATTTCATTTTCGCTGGGATCATTTGTTTTTATTCGAATAATTATCTGGACGGTTTTTTTTTTCCTATCTAGTAGCACAAACCAAATTGATATGTATCGACTTGAATTGTATCTTATAGCTACAAAAATCTCTTCATAATAATAATTTTCCTAAAACACGTAGGTGGGCTTGGATGGCTAAAACAGAATAGAATGAATTTGCACCGCACGCCATCAGAAGATATTTCTGCTAGAAGCGTTGGGATGTTTTCAACAAAAAAAAAAAGGTGATTTTCGAAAAGTGACATCCTCATAAATTTAGACATTTTTATGAAGGGCTGTGCAAAAGAGTCATCATAATACTAAAAGTCACAGAGATTATTTCCCAACAATACCTGAGGGCACTTGTAGAAAGCCATAAAATTACAAGGAACGGCACAAACCGTTTGGTGAAAGTGTGTGTTATTTTCTTATAAATTATAGCATGTTCATGAAGAATTGCGTATCGGGTTATTGTATTAAAAGTCACAGAGATCGGGTTACTATAATTCTTAAAGACGTCGTCTTCTTTTTTTCACCTGAATCTTAAAGCGTCTTTAGAATGCTCTAAAATCATTTATGGTGTCCTTATAAATTAATGTATTTCTGTGAAAGATTATGCAGGGAATTATAACACTAAGAATCACATCCTCATGTACCAAAATTATTAATTGATGTGTCCTGTTGCCACCAGCACAGAGCGAGAGGGAGTAGCGCGACGACAAAGGGCTTGTATCAAATTTTTAAAATTAATTTTACAAGCAACTGTAAGAATCACTTTTGAAACCACCATAAAATCACTTATACAAGGGTGTTTGGGATAAAAACAGTAATTTTTAAAAACACTTTTCTGCAAATCAATATAAACTCATCCACATATTTATTTTGTATATTATAAAATCACTTTTAAAATCATAATTTTAATTTCATTCAAATATTTTTTTAGATTCGTGTATCGGATTACCAAACACCTCCTAAGTGCAAAAGCTGTGGGTATATCGACACATATGAGCTTTTAATTACTATTAAGGACTCAATGACCCACCACATAGTTGTGGCCCTGTTACATCCGAAGCTTCAGAACTTACAGTATATGCAAATCGTAGAATAATTTTGTAGGGTGCGTCACAACAAATCAAACCTCCTGTTTCCGGAAATCGACTGCGCACATTGATGAATTTCTATATCTGCTCTGCGGGCGCTGGGACATAGTTTAGTGATTTAATCACTTTGGCTTCTGCTTGTATGGCCACATTATTGAGAAATCAGCCTCAATAACTTGAGAAGTAACGTGTTTCTTGCTTTACCAAACCAAAGTCGATGAGGATTAAAAAATAGAAACTACAGTTCGGTAGTTCACACTGCAGATTATTCTCTGGTGACGTTCGGTTTTGTCATTATCGTCTTGGTCAAACCTGCTTTGGTCTGATCTGAATGCCTTCCAGGATGAGCCCTGCCTTCAATTGATAGCCTGCTTCCATCATGCTCATCTTCACCTCTTGGTCCTCTTCCCCGCTGTCAAATTCCCCCAACTCGATCTCCATCCATCCATCTTCTCTCGTCGACGGAAATTTCTGATCTTCTTCCGTCCCCGGCGACCCCCTCAACATTTCTCTTCGATTCCCATAAAACAGAGTCTCCATCTTTTGCTCTCTCTCGCATCTGCTGCACAGATAGGACTTCCCCTTCCTCACCACGTTTCCCACTTCAACCGTTACTTCCGAAGCTGCACTGTCCAGACCGTACGCTCTGTGAGACACCTTCATTATCAGATAAGCCCCGTACCAAGTGTTGGGTGTCAGAATCCCAGTTCTGACGCTGCATTTAACTTCTAACCAGCTGACTGTTCTGAGATGAGCCACCACCGAGAACCTGCAAATTCATTCATTTAATTAGTACACTCTCAGAAAGTAGTGGCTGAAGGAGTGTGGAAGAATTTAACGAGCGAGACCTAGATTCGGGCATGGGTGTCCAGCTCCATAACATGGGGTCGTTGCCCCACGTGACAGATAATTCCCTAGCAGAGATGATGTAAGATTTTTTACCCGAAGACCTGTCTAATTGGAAGCTCTGCAATACAAAATTGTAAAATCAGAAAACAGAGAGAGACAGGACGAATTGAAAGAAATAAGTAAAGAGAGTTTACCTTGGAGCCACCGTCAATGAGAAATGGGCGAGTGAGAGCGTGGAAGAGGTCTCTTTTGGAAGAGAAGTCAAGAGGAGTGACAGCCCTGGACAGGATGTCGGGGTAGTCAGAGGGCAAGAAGGAGAGCCAGAGGAGATCGGAGAGAGCAGGGGAGCGGAGGGAGGAGGAGACGGAGCAGAATCTGGAGACGTCCGCCGGAGAAGTGAAGGAGAGAATGGTGGAGACGCAGTCGTCCGGCAAGGTGTCGATGTTAGACATGAGAGGCAACGTTGACGAGAAGGCAAAAGGAAGATGGAGAGAGAGGGGAGGGGGGGGGGGAGAGGAAGGATTAGAATATCATGGGGACGGGGATAGGTATTCATGACTGGGATTTAGGATTATACTACTTAAATATTTGAGCGCCCTTCTATTGAAAAAAAAAAAAATCTTATCACATCGTAGCTGTTTAAATTTAATATAAACAGTTTAGATTTATTTTTTTATTTTTTTTAATAAGTACATGATTAAAAATAAATATAATTTTTTAACTGTAAAATTTTTTAAAAGTAATTTTCACTTAAAAATTATTAATTAAATTTTTTAATTTAAATAGTATAAATTTCATTATAATAATAAATATCACAGTTACCACTTACCATGAGGAGACCAAAACTGCTTTGAAAAGTAAAGGGGGAACCCGTGGGACTTCCATACATAGCCGACGGATTCACTCCTTGTCTCGTTGTTCCATTTTCGGCGTTGGCTGGCTGGCCGTGGCCCGCAGCAGCAAGTTGTCATGGGCATAACATCAGTTGATTTCCTGCTACTATTTTTTATCCTAATTATAAAATCTTATTTATAATTTATAAATAAAATGTGTAATTAAGATAGAAGCTAATAACACTTATGGACTCTTTTTCATAAATTACATCTTTTTGCCATCAAAACTAAATCTGGGTTCGTAATAATTGAATCAGCCGCTAACCATTTTGTTTCCGCCGTCACAGGTAAGACCACGATTGCAATTATATAGAATGATCAGATTTAGACTTGAGACTTCATACTTAAACAATCAAAACACTTCCACCGTCCTAATGAGGAAAATTGTTTTGCTTTGATCAGTAAAATTAAAGGAATTCTATATTATTTAGCAAAATTCTAGAAAGATTTATATTTGATTTTATTTTGACAAAGACAAAGGGGATCAATGAATCTGAGCATGAGATGACGACAGGATGCGATGAGGATGAGAACAAACAAGAGAACCGAGGTGGCTGGAATATACTTGTTTTTTATATAAAAGTTTGTTTGATTTCTAATTTAGTCTTAACTATAATATTCTAATCCATTTTATCTTTCATATATCTATTTTTTAAGATAGTCATTGTAATAGTTACATATGTTAAATATTTCATCGAATAATTAGTAAGAATATTTTATAAAAGACAGTATGTATTTATTATAAATAACTAATTCAACTAATTTTTTCAGTTTACTCAAATTAATTAATTAGTTTTTATATTAAAAAAAGAAAGTAGTAGTCATTAGTCATGAATATTTTATTGAATGTCGTTGAATGCCTCTCCTAAGCCCTCCCTTGCCTCTCTTATTTTTGTTGGTTTCTGTTTTTCTTCTGTTCTCCACCCCTCAAGTTGAACCGTGTTGGGTTGACGCAGACTCAAACTTATCCTCCCCTAGTCCCCTCCCAAGCTCGGATGGGCTGCCATTTTAGGAAGGTTATGGTGGGTGCTGGTACTAGATATCTCGCAACTTCTCTGTTTTGTTTTATTTATTTATTTTTCCAAAACATTCATTATAATTAGGTTTGTAACGACGATGTCGTTTTCTCCTGGGAATCGGACGTCGATTCTCTATCTACTTTTTACATGAATGGGAATATTCAGCCAGATCTATGCATAATTTTCCTTTTTTTCTTTCCTCAAGGGTGCGTTCTTATTAAGATGTTAAGAATAATCAAATATTAAGTTCGCGGTACTTTGTTTTGCAGGCTTCCATCTAAATTAATTAAATTCTCTCACTAGGATATTATGACGGAACAAGTTATAATTCATTACACATGCCTGACATTTAAAAAACAACACTTTTTATGACGTCGTCTTTGCATTTGGTTGTTAAAGTAAACGATTGAATCCGTAATCAATAAATAAATAGAATGAAAGGAAAGGAGAAGCTCTGATTAAACTATAATATTGCTGGCCCGAAGAATACTAGCCAAATTAGAAAGCGATTTTAAATGCAGGACCGTGTTATGATCATTAGTCGGACTGTGAATCATTCTGAGGAACGATGCGAGGAGATAATCATGGAGACTTGGATGATGGATCTGCTTCTTTCTATTTTTTCTCCCTTCCATTTCTCTTAACTCCTCACGGTGAGTGTAAAATAAAATCTTGAAACATCTAATATTTTATCTTTTTATTATTTTTTTCATTAATTTATATTTAAATAATTGTTTTTATATATATATCAAGTGTAAGCCGTTCAAATTCAATATCAAGTAATTATGAACGATTCAATATTCAAAAGTTGCGAGTCCGTTAGCATAGATGCCCTCGTCAGGAAGGACCAGTGACCCACCACTCAGTGTCACGTACAGTGACAATCAGGACTGTGAGCAGTTCTCTGACTCGTTAATCCGCTGTGCTATTTAGGAAACTTCGAAATTACGCTAATGAAAATCTTAAAAATGATATGAATGGTGCGTCAGAACGTGCAAATCAATCCTGGCCCCCTGGTTCCGGGATTCGACTGCGCAAATTTCGGTAGAAATGAAAAACTAGTTTCTATATGGATAATTCATGGGACTTGAGACATGGTTTAATAAACCGCGTCGATTATTGAGTCCCACCGTTTGGAGAAATAGCATGTGTCATGGCTTTACCGAACAACAGAAGACGAGGATAAAAGCAACATCACATCTGCTCTTTAATATAAACATTAGTTAACTAATTTAAATATATTAAAAAAATTAGTTAAATTAATTATTTATAATAAATAGAAACTATTTTTTCTAGAGTATTCTTATTAATTAAGTGTATTGGTTAAAACTATTATTATTATAAAAAAAATTTCAAAATAAATAAATAAATATAAAAAACAAAATAAATTTAAATTTTATATTTAGAACAAAAATAAAAATAAAATGAGTTCTTGTATCAAGAATAAGAGATAAAGAGATACTCATAGTACACACATCTACTCCATTTATATATGTGTGTGAAGAAAAATGTAAAATTCATGTATCATGTTTTTTTTTTTTTCCAGTTTTGTCCGCCACTTAATCTTGGATATTTTTATTTACGCACTCCATTTTTTTTTTACCAGCATTTAACGCACTCCATTTAACAAGATATATTGAACAAAAATAATAATTACATGCTCTGAAATTTTTGAAGACAAAACAGGAGTACGCAGTGGGAGCATATACACTGTGGACCTACCTATCTCACACGGTGCGTTTGGTACTGTGATCATGGTTTTGGTCTGAACTGAATGCCTTCGACGATAAGACCTGCTTTTAGTTGATATCCCACTTCCCTCAAACTCATCTTCACTTCTCGGTCTTCTTCCCCGCTGCAGAACTCCCCTAACTCGATCTCCGTCCACCCGTCTTCTCTTCTCGAAGGTATTTTT